AGAGGCTGGCCCACACGTCTCTGTCGAAGGAAAGATCGGGGAGAGAGGGAAGGAGAGGCAGGCAGACACACAGAGAGCTGTCTTTAAACCACCCCATTTGAGGAGCCGCTGAGAGGAGAGCCGCTGGTGCTGGAGAAGGGCACGGCTGTCACAGGTTCGTGAGGCATGGATCCAGGGGGACAGCTTATGGGGAGAGAGGAAAAAACTTCGCAAGGATGAGAGAATCCCCAAAAGGAGTGGACTGACTTGAGGGGCAACAAGGTCCTTATCTCCAGAAGGGTCCAGCTGAAGCCTCACAGACTGCTTGGGAGGGACTCCCCTGTTGAATGTTTCCCAGCCTTTACTCAAGGGGTCACTTAAAAATCTTTCTTTAGCTTTAGTCTGAGCTAAATACCCATTTAAAAAAAAAAAAGATGTGATGGGATGTCTGCATATGTGATAAGTATAAACAAGTATGTAACTAATAGAAGCTGTGTGTGTCCCACCTAAAATCGTTGCCCTCACCACTGTGAGAAATACGCTGTACTGGGTCTGAATCCAGTCTACACAGGCTCCAGGGGCCCCTCTGGGGCTAGGATTCTGTTATCGGAAGGTTCCTTGAATGCTGATAATGCTCTTCATTTTTATAAGCATGTTCTCATCTGTGTATTTCATCTAATCCCCTTGACAACCCTGAGGGCTCTGCAGAGAAGTCACAGATGGTGCCTGGGCCCCTGCAGCACAGGCCCCGCCTAAGGCCCTATAGATAGTCACCGAGGACTGGAAGCAGAGCTCAGAGTTCCCAGCTCCCCATCCCACCCTCTTTCAATCTACACGCTGCACAGCCAAATCCCTTCCTGGTGCTCTCCAAATCCTCATTAGCAATACAACCTAGATGTAAATTTAGACAGACAGATGCCAGGCTCTCTTGATGAGAATATGCCCCTCTGATATCCAGAATGTCACCTCAGCAACCAGTAATGACCCACCTTGTCATTTGGCAATCGGCAGGCCCCACCTAGTAAAGCCACCAAGAATGCTAAAGGACAATGAATACTAAAGGACTGCTACCTTATGATCCCTACAAGAGAGATGGCTGCAGAAAGCTGCCTTGGATCATGCTAACAGGTTAAATGGACCTAGGGGCTCAGTGGTGGGGGCCAGCCCAAGGAGGGCCGGGGGTGGAGTCTCTGAGAATACGCAGGACTACCTCATCACAGGCAGCGGGGATGCTACCGAGAAGACTGGAGATGGGCAGCAAGGAATGCATGCAGGTACCAAAGAGGGCACCCATGGCCTGTCTGAAGCATGAGGAGGCAGCAGCATTGCCCTCTTGGTCATAGTTCCACAAGACAGACCCGCTGGCTGACTGCAGACTGCAACTCAGGCTGAGAATTGACAACCATCCCACTCTATTTTCATTCTTTTTGTTTTTCTTAATTTTTATTTTTTATTGATTTCGGAGAGAAGAAGGGAGAGGGAGAGAGAGAAACATCAGTGATGAGAAACATCCAAAGGGCTGCCTCCCATATGCCCCCTGCTGGGGATCGATCAGCACATGCACTGACTGGGAATCAAACGGGTGACCTCCTGGTGCAAGGGATGACACTCAACCAACTGAGCCACACCGGCCTGCCTATTTTCATTCTTGACACTGTCTCTACCACAAAGGCATGCTGGTCTGGTGGGAAGGCAGAGCGACATGTTACTTCACAGTCCCAGGTAAACAGCAGTGAAGTAACATGGCTTAGACCAGGGGATCTAACTGGAATCCAGGACTTGTTTTCAGAGATCCACGAAGCCTCTGAATTGTATGTCCAACTTTGTACATCGAGCAACTTTTCTCTGGGCGTCTCAATGGCATATTCAAGGGGCTATGACCCAAGAAAGTAAAATCCACTGCTCAGCCTTCTTGGCTGCCTGTTCCATGCAAGAACTTGCTGGAAGTGCTACTAATATCCCAATCCCTGTTTACAGAGACCTCACATGAGCTGAGAGCATCTCTGGGAGATCTGAAGTCTGCTTAATCCACTATTACTTGGGTTTTGTTATCTGCAGTCAAAAGCATCCCCACTGATCCAGTACCATAGAGCCCAGTGGCATCACCCAAGACTATGAGGGCTGGCAAGGCCTCAGAGTCCACCAACAAAATTCCTCTCAACCTCTAGAGAATGGGCACCTGCCGGATGCCCCAGAGCACAGAGAGCTCCCCCTGCTCCTTCCTTTTCACCATCCCCAGACAAAGGTACCTTATAGCCAACATTAGGTTGGCTGGTACAGGGCCTGGCAGGTACCGAGCTTCTGGAACTCAATGCACACCCTGTGGACACTTGAGAGCATTCCAGCTTTGCACAAGAATGTGTTCCCACTTAGTTCACATGAGTATGGTTTGTACAGACGACACAATGCTCACGAGCAGGTATGTTTTCAATCACTTGCAGGGAGGCACACTCCATTTGGGGGCATTTCATGGGAAGAACAAGGATTACACCAGATGTGAAATATAAAATGGAGGTCACATTTCCCTGAGAACTCAATCTAGCAGGCTGGTCAACATGCGATTCTGACTAACGTTAGGGCCAGTCACTCCAGAAGGTAGCTCTGTTCAACAAGCCCAGCAGTTCTCCCTGGTTCCAGGACCCTTCGAGCTCAGGAATCAAACCCAAGGATAACTGACTTGTCACTTTATATGCGGCTCAGATAACTGAAAGCATGAAATACCTAATAACAAAATAAAAGTTATACCTGGAACAAAAATGTCTTATGTAGATGAGAACATGGGTAGTGGAAAAATACAAACTGCCTTATGCAGGAGCAAAGCTGGCAACTCTGGAAGACTGTTGATTGCCTCATCAGGGCTCACCAGAGGGCCTTGACCCCCCTTCTCCATAAGGAAACGTTGAGGCCACTATGGGTGGGGGAGGGGCAGTTTCCACTAGAGCACAGGGTTTACTCAACACCCCCTCCTCCCCAGAAAGAGGCTGGCAGGGCCCAAAGCCTTGAAAACCCCAGAGCATCAAAGCCCCATGCCTCCTGCCCTGGCAGAGAAAGGACAAACTACACCATAAACCACAGACAGAGAAGGTAACTGGCCGCTGGGCAGTGAGAACAGACCCAAGGGTGAAAACCATGGCCTGAAACATTTTCAACTCCAGTCAGCAGGAACATGCGATTTACAGGAAATTAGGAGATTTACAAAATGTTGGCCAGCTCAAGTTTCTTCTCTCAGAAGAGGAGCAGGAGAAACTCTAAGAACCGTCTGAGTGAAAGTGCTTTGTCCACAACCAAGCCTCTGACACGTGTCGGTTATTAATACTAACAGCTCACCACCCCCCACTTCAACCCACCAGAGGATGTCAATAGAGCAAAAGCATAACACAGGCTGCACCTGGAGCCTTTAAGCCCAGGACAACCCAACCCTCACAAGAGGGGTCTGAACAGCTGCATGGTTTAAAGCATGATCTCAGGATCTTGGGCACGTTATTGACCCTTTTAGCCCCAGTTCACCACCTGCACATGGGGATAATAAAACCTTTCTGAAGGAGCAAGCACGTCCATGTCTGGTCCGCATGAGCCCTGTTGGCTGCTGTTATTTCAGCAGAACTTCAGGGTTTTTCAAGTCAGATCTCTTCATTACTCCTGCTGTCGGGAAGGTTATTACTCTTTTGAGGCCACAATTCCGAGCCTTGTCAGTCACCCTCTCAGGTCAGGTCCAGGGCAGCGTTGAGTCCTGAAGTGGCAAGAACCGTTCTAGCCCAAGCAGGGGCCCATGGTGGGAAGAGGGGCAAGCCCAGAGTACTGTGCTCAGGGCCATGATAAAGTGGCCCTTGTCCACCTTTCCAGACTTGGCTTTGTCCTCAGCCTGCACAGACCTCGGTTCCAGCCACAGAGTCTAACTGGGTGTTCAGTGCCCATGCTCCTGCCAGGCATCACCTCCTCTAGAAGGCCTTCCCTGACCTTCCACACTGTCTGCCCCCAGAAACCCTGAGCTTCCCGGACCCCAGGACCGACCACGCTGGGTTGTCCCTCGGTTTGCTCTCCTACCTTTGCCCTGGAGCAGCAGCTGGCACTGTGCCCCACACACGGTGGGTGCCCCAGCCAGGTCTGGTCAATGAATGAGCCCGGCCCTAGTTGTGACCACAGCCCCAAACGCAGGGAAGGGCTGTTTATGAAGAAGGCTGCTTTTTGTTACTCAGCTGAATTTGACAACTCCACCCGCGGATCCCAGGGCTCGTTAACGCCATTTTAGAAGGGGAGGAAGCGCCCCCTACCCCGCCCCACCCAGCCCCGCCGCCCACCACCCCGCGGGTTCTCGCCGGGGCAAACAAGGAACCCAAGGGCGGCTGTCATAACAGAGGCTCTTTGGGAGGTGGGCAGGCCCTCCCCACTGGAGTCTCCGTCGTGGCCGATTTCTCGACCGCTCACCGTTATTCGGGGACCTGCGGTGGGGGCCAAAGGGCACTCGCCGCCAGTCCCAGAGCGCATTCGGCTGCGAGAGCGCGGCCGGGCCGGGGGCGGCCACACCTCCGGCCCCGGAACAAAGCGCCAGCCCGGGCTGGGGGTCGCGCGGCCGGGCCACCCCTCCCCTCGTGTCCCCGGCTGCTCCGACCACTCACCGCACGCTCCAGACCCGGCTGGGCACTGGCCCTCAGGTCGCCTCCCTCATGCTCCAGTCGGACTGACGGCTCCCGGCCCGCCGGCCCGCCGGCCGCTCTGGCCCGTCCCCACCCCGGGGCCTCCTTAAAGCGACCGCGCAGCCCGAGCGCGCCCAGAGCGCCTGCCGCGCGGCGCATTCCTTATATTGCAACAGCGCCTGCTAAAAATAGAGCGCTGCCCGGGCGCGGGGGGAGCCGGGCCCCACGCCGCGACCCCGCCGTCCCCGCCTGCACCCTGGCGCCAGGGCGAGCGGCCCACGGAGTGCCAGCCACCCGCGCAGAGTTCCCCAGACCCGGCAGGGCGCGCGAGCCTGGCCGCGGAACAGGGCCGGCGCCGCTGCCTCCCCCGCGGCCCCGCGCACTTACCCGGGTCCGACCCGTGGCGCCGCGGCGCTGGCTTTAAGGTGGACGCAGAATGGGAATTCGTCCCGGCCCCTTTAAGAGCGTCTGCGCTCCAACCTTTAAATCTCCGCTTGGCCCGGCCAACTTCTGAGCCTCCCCAGTCCTAAGAGATCCCGGATCGCCACCTTAACCGCGTTCCCATAGAATCCCGGGACGTGTGTCTTTCTAGATCCTGCCTCCGGGATCGCTTTTCCAGGCCCTCTAGGTGCACCGTTCAAGGGCTCAAAGTTCCTTCAGATGGGTGCGACGGGGACAGGCGACACTCCGCTCCATTTCATTGTTTCAGTTCCGATGACTCCTCCATTGGCGTCGTTTTCCCCCCTTTAAAAAATAAAAATAAAATTCGCACATCACAAAATTCATTTTGTGCAACCCTCACTATTATCGTACCCCACCCCTGAAAAAATAGTACCCACTTGCAGTCACTCCTCCTTCCAGCCTCTCCCCACCCCCTGGAAACCACTAACCTCCGTTCTGGATTTGCCAGTTCAGGACATTTCCTATAAATGCAATCATACAACATGTGGTCTTTCGTGACCAGCTTCTTAGACTTTGCATAAAGTTTTCAAGGTTTATACATGTTGCAGCATGTAGGAGTACTTCATTCCTTTTCATGACTGAATAATATTCCGTTGTATGTGTACACCACATTTTATTTATTCACTCACCAGGTGATGGACAATTAGGTTGTTTGTTCTTTGGGGGTATTATGAATAAAGCTGCTACAAACATTCATGTGCAAGTCTTTGTGTGAACACGTTTTCATTTCTCTTGGATATATACTTAGACATAGAATTGTGGATCATATACTATATTTAACAATTTGAGGACTCCCCAAACTGTTTTCCAATGTGGCTGCACTGTTTGACATTCCCACCAACAATGTATGCAAGTTTCAGTGTCTCCACATCCTCACCAACACTCGTTATTGTCTGTCATTTTTTATTATGGCCATCTTAGTGGAGGTGAAGTGGTATCTTGGTGTAGTTTTGATTATCAGTGTCATTTTTGAGGATGTTCTTTTTGTGGGTGAACCTTGAGGATGACTTAGAAACACTTTTACACATCCAAGGAACCCATCTCCTAATCATTTTGAGAGCTTCACCCTCCACCTCAGGCCTAAAGGGACCTTACTTCCCTGAGTCCTTCATGCCACACTGGGGCTCCCAATTTGCCATGCAGCCATTTGTTAAGAGCTACTGTGTCCCCTGCATCCCCACTTCCATCTATTGCTCCAGAGACCCTGTGGGCCCCAAGAGTCCGCATGGCAGGGGGGAGTGGATGGGATGCCATCAAGAGTATGTCACCTTGTAGGAAGTAGCAGAACTGGTCGAGGAGGGAGCTTGAGTGACAGATGTTCATCTTGACTGGCTGGGTCTTGCCCTGGAATCTGCCTCTTCCACTGGCAGGCCTTCCATTGACCACAGGCCTTGGGGGAGGTGGGCAAGGGTCTGTGGGTTTTGGTCTGTCAGCCCCTCATGGGCTCTTTTGTGAAGAGACATCCTTTTCTGGGCCCTGACTGGCACAGTGGCCAGACTGTTGCCCTCAGCTTGAGCTGAAATGTCTGCACAACAGTCACAAGAGTCGAAAATTTGCCTTCATACCACTTTCATACCCCAATTTTTAATAATATGTCTCTCCAGAAATGGTGTGTAAATAGCTGGTAATCACACACAGGCACCTGAGATTTTCTAATGGTGAGGTTAAACCCTGCAGGCTGTGGCTGGGGTTTTACAACAAGGGCGCCTGTCCCTTCTGGGCTGCCTCCTCTGCTCTTTGAACCCTGAAATAAAACATGGCTCAGTGGCTGGCAAATAGGGGCTTTAGAGAACAGGGCCACTGAGCAGAAAAGTGAGACCTCGGTTTGGTAGCTCATTCATTCAGTAAACACGGCCAGAACACCTACTGTGTATTAGGTGCTGGGTCATAAGTGGCATGGAAGAGAGAGGCACAGAGGGGCCGTGGGAGCCTAGAGGAAGGGTACCTAAACCATTGCAGGGAGGGGGTGAGTGCCCAGGGTAGGCTATCTGTGAGATGTGATGATTGAACCAGGGATTGAAAGACAAACAACAATCAGCTAAACTGCCAGAGACACAGAAAATATTTTTTAAATATGTTTTTATTGATCTTTTAGAGAGAGAGAGGAGAGCAGAGAGAGACAGAAACATAGATGTAAGAGAGAAACATCGATCAGCTGCCTCCGGCACATCCTCTACTGGGGATCAAGGCCGCAACCTGGGCATGTGCCCTGACCAGGAATCGAACCAGGACCTCTCAGTTCATGGGATGACACTCAATCCACTGAGCCACACCCACCAGGTGAGACAGAAAATTTTATTTTATTTTTTTGTGGGAAATTTTATTTTATTTTATTTTTATCCTCACCCAAGGACATTTTCCCATTTTTTTGTTCAGGTAGAGTGGGAGGGAGAGAGAGAGAGAGAAACATCGATGTGAAAGGGACACATCGAGTGGCTGCCACCCGCACGACCGACCAGGGCCGGGGACAAACTGCAACCAAGGTACATGCCCTTAGCGGGAACCGAACCCGGGTCTCTCTGTACCGCAGGCCGACGCTCTAACCACTGAGCCAAACCGGCCAGGGCGAGACAGAAAATTTTATATGCTGAGGCATGAGTGAGCTGAAGTCTTTCCAAACTCTCCAGGAGATCCACATGGCTGAGCAGGTGTGTTTGGGGCATGGTAGAAGGCCAGACCCCTGGCCAAAAACCCAAGCAGGACTCAGGCCCCAGTTTCAGGTCCTGAGGTCCAAGGCAGGTCTGGAGCAGATCCTGGAATAGAGCAAACATCAGAGCCGCTGGGCTGACCCAACATAGAACTTTCCTGCTCAGTGACATAAGCGAATGTAACTCATTTACTATGGTGCGTCCTGTGCTTACCTCCCTGTTCTGAGACCTGCTGAGTGCCATGCCTCAGAGCAGACCCCAGCTGGTGCCTGAGGGTTCAGTGGGCAAACCTGGGGGGAGGGGGGGCTGACTTCAGGACCAGGAGCCAGGCAGGTCATTGTGGCACAATCTTCCTCCAGAACTCCCTGCCCTCAGTGTGGTCCCTGGGGGTAAAAGCAGCTCTGGACTCCTGAGCACTCATGGTGTGCCAGACATGGGCACAGTGATGGGCCAGCACACCTCCCAACAACCTGTGCAGAAGGTCTTAGCCACCCTGTTTTAGACACAAGGAGACCCCAAGCCCAATCCCATCCAGCCGGTAGACTGAGTTACAGTCTGCTGTGCTTTTGGCCTTGACGGGCAGGTCAGTGGTGTGTGTCTGCTGTTGGGAAAGCAGGGAGAAGGTGAAGAGGACACCAGTGCTCGTTCCATCGCAGTCTTTTTGGGCTTGTGGCTGAAATTAGATCTTTTGCTGACCCCGAAGCACCAATTATGGGTTAGCAGAAGAGCCTCACCCCACTCACATGTGTGTTCATCTCGTCAGCTGACTTTACTTCTGTGCCAAGTACAAGGCTTTTTTCCCTTGGGCTGCCCATGATACGGCACCAAGAACTACATAGTCTTTTCTTGGGGTTTTCATGGCCTTTACTAACCCAGGTGCAGTCATTTCTCACTTTTAGCTTTCCTTGTGACCTGCCCCCGCTCCTGCTCTATTTGGAGCTAGACCTAGATTTTCTTCTCTGATGCTTATGGTTCATCCCTCACATGGGCTCCCTCTTGCTCTCTGGAGCCGGAAGAGTAGTTTTCAATCTACTTCTCACTCATGGTCAAACTTCTCCAAAAAGTTGTCCATACTCAAATACTATGTTTGTTTCTGATTATTTGTTTTTCTCTCCCATGACTCTTCCTCTGTTTAAATTAAACTCAGTGATTTTTTTTTAGCCAAGCCAGTATGGCTCAGTGGTTGAGTATCGACCCATGCACCAAGAGGTGATTGGTTCGATTCCCAGTCAGGGCACCTGCCCATGTTGTGGGCTTGATCCCCAGTGGGGGGAATGCAGGAGGTAGCCAATTGATGGTCTCTCTTATCGATGTTTTTATCTCTCCATCTCCCTTATTCTAAAGTCAATAAAGAAAATTTTTTTTTAATAAATTAATAAAATCAGTGACTTTTAAACATGTTGGGCCATAACTCATAGGAAAATATAGGCTTACATTGCAAATCAGAACATACTCATTCACACTTAAGTGAAATAAAAATTTCATGAAACAATACTTATCTTGACGATGTGTGATGTGCTCTCATCTATTCTGTTTCATTAAAAAATGAAAGTAGCAAGACCTACTAAATTGATTTCACGGGTTGTGACCTACAGTCTGAAAACCATTGATTTGTATTTTGACAACCGAGAGCCTCAAGGTAGTAACATTACAGCAGAAATTTGTCAAGAGAGAAACGTCAACTCTAAGCTTTTGAAATACGTGCTAGAGACAAAAGATTGAAAAGAGTTTTGATTTTCAAAAGCCTAGGAAATCTTCTCTTCCAGGCAGGATGTAGTAGGCTGTGGCAGGCCCGTGCTCCTACCACAATGAAATGAGATGAGGTTCTCCAGCTGTTTCTCTCCCCTCCCCCAGGACATTTGCCAGTTTGGGGCTCTGGCTAATGATCAAACTTTACCCAGAAGAAAGACCTCTAATGGAGGAAAGAGAAATCAGCAAAGCTTTTAGTTGCCGCGTGGTACTAGAATGACAAATTGGAACACAGGTGGCCTTAAAAATACAACCCATTTTCCAACATGACATTTGCTGAGTTCTGGGCCCGAGAATGCTTCTAATAAGCAGACTAAAAACTTTCATAGTCTCATTGTGTTTAAAAAACAAAGGCTCTGCAGGGCTGGTGCAGCTCAATGGGTTGAGCATCGTCACATGGACTGAGAGGTCCCAGTTTGATTCCTGGTTGGGGCACATGCCCGGGTTGTGGGCTTGATCCCCAGCGCGGGGCGTGCAGGAGGAAGCCAACTGATGTTTCTCTTTCACATCAATGTTTCTATCTCTCTCTCCCTACCTCTCTCTAAATAATCAATAAAAACATTAAAAAAACAAAAAAGTAAGGCCCCCCCAAGAAGAAAGGGTCTACCTCAAACACAAGGCCAGCTCCTTCCTCATGATATTTGCCAAATTTTTCGTCTCCATAGGGACAGAGTCAGGAGAGCTGGATGGAGAACCTCTGAAGGGCAGAGCTGAATTTCCAGTCTTTCATGGAAGAAGACACAGACACCTGAAGGTTCTCAATCAGAATCCACATGTGAGCAATAGTGGTAAACCAGAGATAGAATGTCTTGCAAAAATTAAAATTAAGCCCCAACCCAGCTCAATTCTTCACCGGATTGAGATGATCATCCCTCACCCCCATCTGCTTAACAGAAGAAGGAAGGAACACTTTGTTTGGCAAATT